ATTAATTAGTTACAACTCTTTTATACAGTTTTTTAATCTATAAATAATTGATTTAATTTCAAAAAAAATTATTTAAATCTATAATATCATTCAAACATATTCTAACTTTTTTATGTAAGTTGAATCCAAAGGAAATGATTTACAAACGTGGGTTAATGGAGATGAAAACGAAAACCCAAACATGCAATAAAACATTTTGAAAAGGAGCCCAGATGAAAATGTCAATATGCCCTACTTCTTTTATGTTAAATTTATTTATTATTTTTAAATTTTATCCCTTTGATATCTGCATTTTATTTTATGAATGAATGCGAATAAAGCGAAAAAAATTACTCATTTCAAGAACATTTATTTTTAATTTAAACAAACTGATGAACTTTCAACTGAAGCAATTAAATTTAAGATTTCATTTGTTAAAAAATTTATAGGGTTGGATAATAAATTAAATTTAGGATTTTATTTATTTTCTAAAAAGTTATTCGATTGAATAAGATACTATAATTACTTTATGTTTGACTTTTAAAATAAATAATAAAATCACAGATACAAATCAAGTATAGAAAAAATAAGACAAAATTATTTTCCTTTATTATTTGAGAAATGATGATATCGATGTTACTATTATTTTCATCACCACAATTATATTGTGCTACTGGCTATTTACCGTTGTGATTATCAATATTAAACTTATCTTTAGATAATCAATATAAAAAGAGTAAGACAATAAAGTTAATATTATTTTACGTGTATTATCCATCACCTACTTGACAAAGCAAAGGATACAAAATGTCATATAATTTAAACATTTGTCTTAACCGTATATATCAAACACATCTTTTATATTTTAATTAATTAAAGTGTTCTAAATATATTCAAATTTCAAAGTTTTTTATCCTTTTCTAAATCATCCAAATGCAAACTGTAGAGTTACTCAAATAATCACTGTATTAGAAGCTGTTCTTCAATATCACAACACATGTAAAACACATGGCACATATGCAGAGCACAATTTCTCCTTGGAAATCCTTTGCCAATGTCACACCAGTTTTCTTCAGCGGGCCTCGTATTGGACAACTGCATAAAAACACTACATGTTAAGTACGTATGTAAAAATCATGTAAGTAGAAAGTACAGAATTTTATAATAGTTCTTATCCATATTTATATGTCAAGTAGTTTTTCCAATTTGGACTTGCCAAAATATGTCTAACCATTAAGAAATCACTCTGATTCATACTTGTCATCACCAGATGTGGGTGAGCAAGATGAAGATAGATAAAATATTCACTTTGAAATTCACCACCTTCCAACAAAAATCATAGTTCTTCTAGTGAGAAACAATGTGTCTATGTTTCAAACATTTAAAACAATTGATTGAACTACTTATGTTATCTATATTTTTGTGGTTTACAAATTTTAAATTTTATAAAGATAGATATGGAATATGCTATGCAGTTCTTCCAATTATGTTAGTTAGAATATATATTTCCATTTGTTTCCAACATAACATCTTTTCTATATATCCAGCAGGATTTGCCTCAGTTTCTTCAACAATTGGTATTAAATAAATATATCTCCAAATTTTATTCAAATACCATAAAACTGAAGAGCAATAATTTACTCCTATATAAAACTTGTTATTGTTGATATTTTTCAATTTCACCAAAAGTCAAGGCTTTAAGAAATAGGAGAACATACACACTTCATATATTTATATGCAGCAGATAGAAACAAAAAGAACTTTGGTGACAGAAATTGTTACTTTAATACTATATTTATATGCCTAATTAATAATCATAGTTCTCCTATATTCCTTTAACCAATTATCATATTACATGTGATGTATGATTCCCCACAATCAGTGTTAAATTATAGGACTATCATTGTTAAATAAGGCACTATGTAATTGAATTCTAACATAATGGCATCTAGGATTATGGTGGTGCCTGATACCATCCTTTAACCTAGCCTTTCTCTATCGTCAAGTCAAGGGGAATTAGAAACAAATTTTGAATACAGATAACAAAGTAGTATAATAATCTGAGTATTATTCTTAGGTAAACTACATTCACCGAATGTTATCAGCCTCTGACAATGAAATGTAAATTGATTACAAGAAATAGGATCCAAAGATATATGAAGAAAAGGTTTGCCTCCAATGAGGATAAGTATCCACCTCTAGATCATATAAAGCTTTGCCATGGGGTCAAGAACTCAGCCTAAGGTACTTTTAATTTTAAATGCAAAAAGGAAACAGAATCATCACTATGAGCTGGTTCTAGACGAATAGACCATGAGGTTTTGTGAGGAGATCCATTTATTATTTTTAAAATCTTGGATAGTAGCTTAACCAGCACAAGTGAAAGAGTAAAAGGTAATTTAAAACCATAATCTCTCTCATATACATGCTTGTTTTCCAAAAAAGAAAAAAAAACTACATCTGAATAAGCAAACACGTATAGTATAATTAGTTTAAGTTAGTAATAACAGAATACAGTTGTATTCTTTTTCTGTATGTAATTAGAATACTCCATTACGGTATATGATTGTTGTAAGATGATTTCTGATAGTTCAACAGTAAGATGATTTCTGATAGTTTGATACTTCATAACGACAACAAAAGAAAAATTAACTAAAAGAATACTCCATTACGATATAATTTCATTGACTCCGCCACTTATTCAAATTATCTTAGCCGACAACGCCCTCGACTCATCCCCTTCGGAAATGAGATTCACGAGCGGGACGCTCCGTTAGGGAAATTGGCGGAAAGATGGGGGTAATTGAAGGTGAAAGAAAACGATATGCAAGGTATTTGAATTTATGTGTATATGAGAAGTTTATCTTGCTTCTTTTTGCTGTTTTTCTGTTTACAATTCTTTTTATATGAATTTCAATACCTTACTCTACACTGTTACACAGGACTAACCACTAGAACCAGAGGCTTATTTTAAACTAACACTCTTCTCTAACAAAATCACTACCACTTTATAAACAAGAATTTTTCCAACGGCAACGATAATTACTGATTAATTACTTCTATATTTTAATTAATACAAATAAGTGAAGAATATAAAAAGATAACACAGCAACAACGAACGAAACAGAATTTGTATAAAATAGCGCGTTAATGAAACTGAAGCTTACTGCGACGTGTGCGCTTCTTGTAAAGGATTCGGTAACCGCACTCGCGGCACTGTATAACGTCACCAGGCTTCAGCGTATTCTCCATGCCACAATCTGAAGCAAATACACACGTCAAATGGCACTTCATTCTAAAAACCCTAAACACACATTCAAATTTGCAGAAAAGATGAAAGAAAAGCGCGATAAAGGTGAGAGTGAGATGAGAATAAGGAAGAAACCTCCGCAGATATAGCTGACTGGCTCAGGCTGAGGATCCATCGCTGATTCCGGCAAACTGTGATCGAAGAAGCTTCTAAGCTTTGGGTTTCGCTTCGGAGGAGCTCAAGCACACTGGAGACTATTATTTTACCTTTTTTTTTTATAAATACTTGTCGTCAAGATTATTTAAATATATTTTGTAAAGGAGATTTAAGATCCGTTCAATCTAATTATTTATTTTAATTTTAACGGGTGCGAATAATACGACGTAAACGTTAAATTAAAGATAAAAAATATTTTATTGGTTTTTATTTTTTTAATTTTAAATATTAAAAGATAAAAATAATTTTTTAAAACTATTTTAACAAATCACTTATAAAGCAATTTATTTTATTTTTAAAAAACTAAAAAATTTAAAAATTCTTTAATTGTTATACTTGTATTCAATTTTATGCATATAATTTAAACATAACTTCATTAATAAAAACCAAGATAGAGAAATTTGCAACACATTTTATAGTGTGTTATTCTCTAATTCCAATGGCACACGACACGATGGGATAAGAAAGAGGCACACGACACGATGGGATAAGAAAGAGGAAGATGACGTGTGATGAAAACAGAGTGAAAATGGAGAAGGGTAAAACAGGAAAATAAAATGCAAAAAAGATAGAAAAAAACAAGTGAGTCAATGTTGCACGCAAAATCGGGTATCCTATAAGGAGCAACTTTTATTCGTTCTGAAGTATAAAAAATCCATTGACATGATTAAGAGGTGTTCCAGAATTTTATAAGATACAAATATTATATCCTCAAAATTTGGTGGTGACATTTTTTTTATTATCATAAAAGCAAGTAGACCCGTTTGATTAATATGATTTTCCCGTATAAAAGTATAAAATGCAAACAATATAATATTAAACATAGTAGGTCATCCAATAGGTTTGGTTCATATGATTATAGGTATAAAATTATAATTCAATTTAGCTAAAATAATATTCTTAAAAAATATTAAATAATACTATCATTTGAGAAAAATAAATAAAACCATCTTGAATTAAAAAACAAGTGAAAAAAACATGAAATTTAGCTTCAATAAACAGAATATACGAGGTAGGAGAGATGTTAAAATGTTGACAAGAAAATAACTTAATAGTTAAGACTTTTGTAAAGATGAAAGTGACTTAAAATGAGACAAATAGTTTTGTGGATCTAACAAAAGTATGTTTATAAATAATGCTTGTATGCATGCAATAGAAGTAATATTGTATGAACGCAAATATGGCAGCATTCAGTAACTCGAAGCTATGGAAAACAAGAATCATAGACTGAACTACAGGGGAAAAAATACAGAGTAACTGCTAAAATCTCTCTCACATCATCGCTACAATTGTTTCTTGCCCTCTCTAACAAGAAGAAAAATTGAAAGTGATAATTGAAAAGAAGTAAAAAATGGTACTGCACAAAGCTATGTATGTACAAACGAATTTATGTTGAGAAACTAGGACTTAATAGACTGATGCAACACAATCACCCACATTTAGATCCTATTTGAAGTAATATCCTATAAGATGAATGTTGCCAAAATCATTTGTAAGTTGTAACTAGCTTGTCTACTACTCATGATTATTTTTGGTGAAAATTTTGATGTACCGATCAATACCGTCGCCTAGACAAGAAAAACTCATAATCGGGGTGTTTGTTTGTACTTGTTAGGTTCCCCTTGTTGACCACAGCTCTTGCCATCAGAGATGCTGTTTCCTCCAGTGTCTTCAAACGTTCTCTGAGAACTAAAGAAGAGTCTAAGCCCACCATTTGTGCTGCCAGTGCAGAATGCTTCAGCTTAAACCAGCATTCACCCTGTTCATATCACACATCAAGGGCTAATTTGTCAGCAAGCCTAAAAAAGTATCCACATTACTCATCAAAAGTGTCATTGCATTGCAAGGCAATTAGTGACACGTAAGTATAATCCCAGTTGTTTGAAGACATAGTATAATGGCTTCAATCCTTCACTCATAAACTACACATGTAAAATAAACCAAATTAAATGGATGATATTTTGAACTTCTTCACTGGTCCTGTTTGAATAAACTTCGATATGTAAACATATATAGAAGTAGATATAAAGCATAAAAAAACAAACTCTATCTATAAATTTAAATCAATTTATGCTTCTTAGTTTTTAAACTAGTTAAATGAGTGAACTGTTGTTGAACCACACAAACTGATTTAAGCTTATGGAAGCAGCTTAATTCTTTTTATCTTATTTTCTTTTCCTATAAGTTTAATTTATCCAAACATAATCATAATCATAGTACACAAACTAAGTATAATTTGAACAACTCGATTCAACACATACTTCCTACATCTTACAATAATATTCCTTAATGTAAAAAAGAAAACTACAAAAGTTCATCTTTTACATTCTTTATTTCCTTCGCCCCTGGCAAAGACTGCTTCCAAATAAACAGTGGTTTACATGATTGATATGCTAATAAAAAGCTCTAATTATCTTGAAATCAGCCACATAAATAGAATAACAAAATATTATTTGCAATGGACTCATCTTGAGAGGTTTTACTTGACAAACTGAAAGGTTAATTTCAATGCTTGGAAGAATAAGAAGCAAGATAATGCACACCTGAGCATTGTAGCTTTGAAGACCCACAGCTGGGGATACTATGCAAGAACTTAATGTTGACAAATCTGAACCCGTTCTTCTACGAACCAAATGTCCAAGTGAATGGTAAGTCAAAAAAGATGCCCGAAAGTTGCCATCTGGTATGCGGTAAATAGGATACCATGCAACTGAGAACCTGCAAATTAGGTGGGTTAGTGTTACCATTTGAAATATCACTTGAAATTAAGTCAAGAAAAAACTCCTTTCTCGTTATCTGATCTTGCGGCAGATGCAATCACATCTTCTTTTGAACGTGAAATATAGTTGTAGATCACTTACCAAGATCTAGGGTGAAGATCTCGCAGGTTTATTGAATCCAGTTTTGTTGGGTCCCCATAAGTTGAAGATTGGATTGGTATATTTCCTCTAACCAGTTCTTGTATCCTGTAAGAAGATCAAAATCAAGTCATAAGCATGTGTTCCATCAACAAAACTTGCTTCTTACAGCAGCCAAACAAACATCTATTACTTTATGGACAAGAAAAAGAAGATGAAAACCTTCTATTCCTAATACCTGTAGAGTATAACGAAATAAATTTGGCTGATGATCTCAATAAAATTACTCAGCATAATATAAATAGTTAAGGAACATGCAAAATGGCAAAGAACTGTCTATTCCAGAAAATTGATGACAGATAGAGACAATAAAAACAATTATGTTCTGATGAAAGGATAAAGGAGAACAATCTTACTTCTCATACAGAGGCTGTCTTTGTTGAGGTTGCTCAAATTCAAAATATTCAAAAAGAAGTTCAAAATCACCAGAGCCCTTTGAGTTGTAAGACGGAATAGATGTATTACTGATGGAAGCCATCTCCTTTGGTGTTTCAGTGATTGCATCCGGATTGCGAGGCTGAGGAAAGAGAACAGAAAATATTGAATGTTGACTGGCAATAGATGAGTTTTCTGAAATATCAATCATTTCGCATGCCTCTGAAACCTCACAATTTGAAACCTTGTCACCGCTATTTACCCATTGATTTTCATGGTTCTTAAACAGCTGAACGGCTGATAAAGAAGGGACAAAGTAGGCACGGAATGGAAAATCACTAACACCTCCTTGTCTCTTTGGAATTTCATGATCCTGAGCCCTTATCTCTAATCCATAGCTCCCATGTTTCTCATACCACTGCCACAGGCATCCTAAAGATAGGTTAGGGATCTCATGTCTACACAGTGAGACACTACCAGTATGGTTGTGTGAGCAGGTGGCACAACTGACTGAATTGACTGATTTACAAATAACAGGACTACCCAAATGTAGTAGTCTTTCAAACTCTGCAACTGGACCACCTGTAGCCATATGCAGTGCTTCACAAGCTAGTTGCGCCCTACATGCATCATTCACAGCTTTAGATATTCTGTAAGAATATTTTTCTAACATGTCTTGATTTTTGCTTTCATAAAACATGTGGTTAGAAACTTCATGCTTGTCCCTGTGCTGTGTCAACGTACATGCAACCTGACCACCCAATTTATGGTTCTCACCCTCGCCCTCATCTAGACAGGACACATTGTCGCTTGATATTCTGCTTGTATTTAGTGAAGAATCCTTATTTTCAGAAGGGGACACTTCTGGTTCAACACTGCTTTCATAGTTAAAATTGTTACTAGAGGATGCATCAGAGAAATCTGGCGGTGAAATATTAGATTCAGATTTTTCCAACCCTGTATCCTTTTTCCCAACTGGTATCCATTTCCATAGCGTAATTCCAGAGCCGTGGTTTTGTGCGTTGTAGTCTGCAGCAGAAACTTCTTTCTCTGTTTGACCAATCTCATCACCTTCAAGATTGCAAGACACTGCAGACAACTCTATGGACATACTTGATTGATTAACGTTCTCAATTGGCATTACTAATGAGCTATCCTGACTATCTATATTTTCCTTGTTTGCGTTTGCGCCTGTATGGAAGGCATTTTTTTGTGGATCTGACTCCTCCAGATGAAATTCTGCTCTGTGAACCATTTCAGACGTTACCTGTTCAACTCCATCGGTCTGGACCCCATCCATCAGGCAATTAACATCAGAATTAAATTCAGAGTCATTGTTCAATCCTTGTTGATCAATTTCCTGAGATGAGATACGCAACATATCACTCTGTTGAACACCAACCTTCCCATGATCATTCGAAAAAGACCTGTTAAAATGCAAACCCTTCTTAGAATAATTGCTGTGTCCCTTTTTTGACAGCGAGTCCATTTTACCTTTTGATTTCTTACCCATTTTATTTTTCATGTGTTTTTTATCCTCAGTTTTTGTCACACCATTTACACCAACAGAATTACATTCTTTGATAATTGAAGGATCCTTTTCCACAGTAGAAGCAAGTTGGGACAAAGTAGTGTTTACTTTCTTCAAATCACTGCCACATTCATCAGAACTATTCTTCTGAACCTTTTGCCACACAGAATGACTGTTTTCCTTCCCTTTACGACCATGCAAAATTCCAACAGCTCCAAATTTGTTTAAAGCTGCACTGTTCGACATTGCTCTCTTCTGCTTAACTCTCTTATCATTATTGATGCAATTTTGACCACCGTGCCTGATTCCCTCAATATGTTCACAGTTATTGTGAATACCATTAGTCAAGTTTTGACCAAGGAAATATCCATCTCCTGAATCTGAAGTGGTTGTGCAATTTGCCTTGTTGGACTGTTTTCCTATATCATCTGCATTTACACTTTCATCACTTCTGGAACCAACTGAAACTGAATCCAGCACAAAAGAGTCTTGTATATCATTAAAACTGCATGGCTGAGCGTGTGGAATGTCCTTTATTTCTCTATCAATGACTGCAAAATCAGGGTCCCTGTCTTTGAGCTGATTCTTGGAGTCAAATGTGACACATTCTTCTGCAGAACTTGGAACAATAAGTGCAGAATCTTTTGACATCACTGCCTGATCAAGATAAGAGTTACTATTATTAGGTGCTTCCATAACAATGATGTTGTCATTCAGCTCATTTCTATCACAATCAGATTTTATTAATATATCATCAGATATTGAAAATTCTGCCACACCCTCCTTATCCACGTCATTGCTGCTGCAGGTTTCAGAAGTCAAACTTACACAGACATATTCCTCAGTAAGAACTTCGCGCTCAGTAGAGCCACTGTCACTTGATTTCTTCTTACTCCGTCTTACTTTCTTTCTTGCCCTTTTTTTTGAGTTTTTTTTCAAAGACTTGTCCTCCTCCTTGGAATTAATTGTGTACTTATCAGATGAATTAATTTCCTCAGAATTATCAGGGAACAAATCAGAGCTGCAGACTAATGAACTTTGAGAGCTTGAATTGTCAGGGAGTTCATTCAGTTTAGAAGCTCTGTTAGCAATCTTGTTTTGACATCGTCGACGCACAGCTGAACTAGTAAAGCCTTTTTTTGTACCTGATTTAGCTGAATAAGCATATGTAGGAAGAGGCACTCTAGGGCCCTTACATTGATCAATCTTCAACCTATTAAGGGGTGGAGGGAAAAGCAGTTGCACACCATCCATATTTACACCAGAAGCTAAGTTAATGTGATTGAGACACTGCACTGGTAGGGCAACAATTCTCCAGGTTCCATCAGGCTCAAAGTTAAGGAATGAAATGATGGCACACCTGATCAATAATTAGAAGAACTTAATCATAAATAACTTCCAAGAAGGTGTCTTGGGAATACAAAATACATAAATAAAAAATAAAAGTGTAAGGAGCAATACAACAACGAAAAACATTTTGAAAATTGAATCATATAGCCATTAACAGCCTTCAACTTTGTGAAGAGATTAAAAAACAAGGAAGCTATCGTCTCTTATGTCTTTTATGACAAGATAAAAAAAAAACAAGCTTCTAAACAATTATTTTCTTACCCCATTTCCTCAATTGACAAGATAAAAAATTTAGGTAATACTAGAAAAATGCAAAAACAAGGATACCAAGATGTAGTAGAATAAAGTTAGCAACGTCTTTAAATGGAGACCGTATGACATCATTATGACAATACCGACCTTTGGTATAAGCCATATAATCATTGTACAGATAATATATTTCAAAGGAATGTCTTAGAAAGCTAGGAGTACATTTTATATTAACAGGTCAGCAATGTCAATCAAAGAATGAGTAAATTAATGACAAAACCATACTACCAGAAGAACAAAAGATAACGAAAGAAATGCTAGTCACAAAAAAATATTTTACCTGCTATCAGAGTTAGTCCTTGAAAGAGAAGATTCTTGACAACCCTGAATAAAAGAATTACAGTTAAAGAAAAAACAAAAATAGAGGTAAGGATCAATTGCCTTGAGAAACTCAACTAAAAAAATCTTGGAAAAAATAGGACTGAAATTTATTGTCACCTCTAAAGATGTGAATCTATTTTGTTGTTGATATATTGTTGATATGGAATCCTTTCTTGCTTCTGAAACGTTTGGACTATCATTACCTATCTCTTGAGGGGCACAATGCATCTTCCTCGCCTGTCCATATTAGAATCATTGGCCAAAAAGGAAAAAGAAAACAATGAGAAGAAAGAAATTACAATTTTCAAAACAAAGATAAACAATATATTATAAACAGATCATGGTCACGTAAGAAACTTGGAAGCTAAAATAAGAACAGGAGGTAAACATCCAAAGATTTGTGAAAGAAACACAGACAAAAAATGGCATGCTTCTTTACTTTCTTATTTTATAAGCCTATTTCTTTCCATAGTTCTAAAACATAAACATTTACCAATCAAACAACCACGAACAAATTAATTAATTCAATGTTCTAATAATAATAACTAAAAAAAGATAACTTGCAGAAAATTTTTGACCATGGAAAGGTAGAAAAAGCCATTTGGTAGAGTGTCCAATAGAAAAACTGACAGCAGACTAAGAAAGAAAATTCCTGAAAAACCTGCTAAATCAAAAGCCCTAAACCATTATTATAATCTGGTGTGCCTAACCATATATGCATATTATCAAAACTAATTTCTCCTCTTAGATAACAAACCACTGCTAGGGTCGATGTTATCCATGGCGTGTGGCAGAAGGCCAAAATTCCACCATATAGACATGCCATTGTGGCTTATGGATCCAACATAGTGAGCATCCCTTCATAAATTGCCTATGGCGAATGGAAAAAATTCCGACACAGCAGGATGGGGGGCAGCCATAGCACCACCATTCAAAAAATTGACTGGGGTAAATGCATAAAGAACAGCAGCCACATTGTCAAACACAATAAATTAGCCATTTTCTTTTAATCCGAAGAGAAAATGGCCACACAGAAATGGGACTTCTTTCCAAGAAAAGATGCAACAATAATATTGATATCAAAACGGTCCAAACAGGACAGTCGTTATCAGAAATACAATGGCTAAAAGCACAGAAATTCAAAGTCAAGCATGCCATCATGCTGAAGGAGAATTAATTAATAGAACTGTCTTGGACTAAAGCCGAAGTCCAAGTCGCATGGCAAACATAACAAATAAGCCAAAATAGAGAATAATTAACTTCCGTCAACAAATTTAGTTCAAAAATTCCACACCAGACAAGAAAATTCCTAACCTCGTTTTCGCAATCTTCGAATGCAGCTTCTTGATTCTAACATAATAACAAATGACAGCTAAACCCAACAAACTCAACTTCTAGCTGATCAAATATACGCAAGCACATTCAATTAAACACAAAAACGAAGCCCTTAATCCCCCTAGCTGCTGCTAGCCTTTGATTCATATTCTATAGGACATGCATACAAAATCGAAACTCCTCCACTTTTGTTGGATTTCATGAACAAATGAAGTTGAAGCCCAGAGATAACTATTCAAAATTAAAAAATGAACAAAGAATGTATTTCCACACACACAATGGATATGTGCAGGAAAGGAGAAACCTCAACTTGGGTTTCTCCAAATTAGAACCAGAAAAGATTAAATTATCCAAAAGGGAGTTGAGTTCTATCTACCAGTCAAAATAAAGGTTACCCTCTTCTAATTTAACCAAAACCTCACTAAAGCCTATACAAAGCCAATCTCAATAACCGAAAACTATATAAATACGTAAACGAAGATTTAAAAAGCAAAGAAAGAAAATCAAACTTGAAAGCATGGCTTATCTGAACCATCCGCACAAAATCTACAAGTAAAATTTGACTGAACCACAAATCCCCTCCCTAAAATATCAAAAAGAAAGACTACCGCATCCTTAGCCATAAAACTCGCCCCCAAATTTAGGCCAAAGTTTCAGATTAGAGATACGCACAAGAAAACCCAAATTAGACAAAGATTTACTACATATAGACTCCACCCACCCCTAAGCCCTATCATCTATTCCCACATTAAAAAAAAAATAATTTTTTCATTCAAAGAACCGAAGAAACCAGCAAAAAGAACCACGCCCCACCACCGCTCCCAAATCAAAACCCAAATATTTCAAACAATCCAATCACACACGCACTCGAAGCTCAAAAAGGGTTATCCCAAAATCATCAAAAAAAAATTAAAAAAAAAAACTTGACAGAAACATAGGAAAATACAAAGAAACGATAATTGGGACGAACCATGATACAAGTTCTAAAGGGCCGGAACTGAGTGGCTCTCTTCCAAGCCTCAACGGCTCTCTTTTTTCTCAAGTAATCACCCGTTTTGTCTTTTGGGATTGAAAAACTATCTCTCTTTATCTCTATCTCCTGTCACTTTCGGCAGATAGAAAGCGACTTCAGCTTCTTCTGAGAACACAAAAACACACACATGCGAAAACACTGAGGTAGTTCAGTGGCCACACACAGATATCAGACAGACACCCTTGAAGAAAATCCGAACTCGCAAAAGAAAAATGGTTTTTGATTTGACTGGAAACTCACATCATCAGGGGACAATATCGTCACATAAATGCCCTTTAATATGCTAATCGTTTTGGCAAACAAGGAAATTGCTTTTCTCTCTGTGGGGTTTTTCCTTTCCTCAAATTTCAAGCTCTTACTATTTGAATGTGACACTAAATTCAGTCACTGGTTCGTGTTCCCAGAACACGTGCACCAATAAACAAACTAAAGTAAAAATTCGCCAGCCAAGCGTGAAGCATGCAGCCCAGGAAGAACAGAAATCTTCTCTTTTTTTCTATACAAAATGAAAATATAATCTGTTTCTTTGAACAACTTTCTCCGTAATAATTTCTAAAAAGAAAAAAAAAAGTATGAACTAAAATTAGTTTATTTATAAAATCCAAAAAGAAAAACTCAAATTAGCTCATAATTTTTTAATTTAAAAAAAAGAAAATAACCTTTTAATTAGATTATACCTTTACAATCAATTTAAATTTATTATATTGTAAGTAGGTGTACTTTTGGAACTTAAATAAAACTAAAATTAATTCGTATTTACACTGCTGAAAAAACAATTAACATAATTTAATTCTTCTAATCATAGTTAAAAAAATTGTCTCTCTCATTAAATCATCATATAAAAAAATAGAAAAAAGAATTCAAAATAAAAGACATAAATTAAAGTCGTTGTAAAAAGTTTTGCAACATTTAAATACTACACACTTTTTATCTTTTGGTTTGTATCATTAATTGTAGTTAGCTTTTATATTAGATGTAAAAGTATTAATTGAAACAATCAATGTAATAAAAATACTTAACATAAGATATTTAATCTTTTCATGTTCATAATTTAATTATAAATGTATTTATTATTTTCTATAAATAAGTTACTTACTTATAGTTTATTTAATTTTTTATATGTTTTACATAATAATTTTTTTTTCAGAATAACTATAGTTAATGCTAATGATTAAAATATCAATCAGAATGTAAAAGTAACAAGTTATTTCAATAGAACTAAAACCAAATGAAACTATATTTATACGACTAAGATTATGTTTAGATTAAAATAAAATAGCGTTGCATGAAATAAAAGTAATTATCATATAATTATATTTTAATCTGTAAAATTTATATTGATGATGTAGAAAAATTATATTATTATTCAATCATAATTCACAAATTTTGTTAAATTTTATAAAAAATAAAAATTACCCTGATGTCAAATAAAAATAAATTATAAGTATCGTTTTAGAAGATAAAGTTTTTAAAACATGAATCTTCTTTTTTTGGTAAACAAAGCAAAATGATTTTTTATCATTTAATTAAAGAGAAAAAATGTATTTTCTTTAAATTTATTAGACAGAAAATATTATATTAAATAATTTTACATTCTTCTTACATAATAAGCATTAAATATGTAAAAACAACAAAAAAAACCTTTAAAAAGAGTTATTATTTTGTCGATTTTCTTCATAGAAATGGGAAAATAGATGTTGAACAGAAATTTTTATGAGTTACGATGTGACTCTTGGTACGCTTTTTTTTTTTTAAAGACCATATTATATTTTAATTAAAATTAGGTTATTTTTTATTTAAGATGTTTAACTTGTAATCAAAACAAGTTTAAGTTAGTCCAACCCATAAATTTATTGGTTAATCCAATTAGTAAATTTATTGGTCAATCAAATTTATAAATTAATTAAATTATTATATATAAAATAAAAAATATTTTTTTTATTTTTTTAAATGAATACAAATAGTTCGTTGATTCGGATCTATAGAACTCATAAAATTATATATATATATATATATATATATATATATATATATATAATATTAATATATAATTTATGAGTTTTATTTTATTATTTTAAAAAAAACTTAAATATCTAAACATTTTTAAAAAAACATTAATAAAATTTAGGATTTATTTATGTTATATATAGGTAAAGAGATGAGTATAGGCAATTTTTTTTAACTAATAACGTGTTAAATATGATATAATTTGAGCACCATGATTCACATAAAATCAGGATAAAAATACAATTGTTAAAAATATGAAAATATTGGGAATGTAAGAAGTATTTTTATAAAGAATATAACAAGATATACAAAATACATCAAGATATGAATTTCACAACATAAATAAATTATTATTAAATCTATTTATATATATATATATATATATATATATATACATTAAATAAGATTGTTATGTTCTCATATATTTTAAAATAATATTAAAATTTTAATATTGTTTAATTGTATTTAAGAAAATAAAAGAAAAATATATCAAAATTATCATTTACATGTAAAATTTCGGAACATATACAACAAATACATTACAAACATAATTTATGCTCCTGATTTTTCCTTTAACTTTTTCAATTATATAATAAAAAAATGCATATATAACTTATTTTAATTGTTAGTTCACTATTGTTTATTCACAAACAATTAAAATGAAAAACAATTATGGCAATATTCATTTTTACAAGACGAAGTGTGTCCCACAAAAAAAAAAGAAAAAGAAAAAAAGGGCAATGATTGAGGAAGAGTGCGGTGTTATTTATGGCAATATCTTTCTTCTTCTTATATCATCAAATGCAACACAAAAAAGAAAGTGAAGATTTTGTTTATACATAACTGTTCCTCTACGACGTACCAATTTTATTCTTAGTATTTTGAATTTATATAGGTAACTTTTTATAAATGTTTAGAACCTATAAAATATGTTTGAAAACACATATTATTATAATTTATAAGTTTTGTGAATTGTTCCTAAATCAGGTTATTTATATATATATATATATATATATATTATATTTTTATTTCGAAATATTTTTTAAAAATAAAATTACGATGAATAAAAACTTCAAACACAGATAAGATATTATAATCATAAAAAAAATTAAAATTTAAAAATATTGGATGAAAAATATAATTTAATTTTCTTATCGGATTAATTATAATACGCATTTTTATCTTTTACGTAAAAAGATGAGAGCCATTTTGGACTAATTAGTTGATACTGTTAATTTGAATTTGATATTATTATAGAGTTTGTCTAAAAGATGAATATGGACAATAACCAGTCTGAAACTACAAGAGAGTTAAGACATTGTGACATCGCACAATGTATACTCTTCAATTTTAATTGATAAAAAAATAAAATTAAGAAAATGGAATACACTTTTCTAAGTTGTGGTTTAAAATTTTCATGTAAACTAATTAAGGTGAGGTGATTCAATTTAATTTAAAAATAAAATAAAATAAAATAAAAGAGCAAGAAACCGATAAAACAAAACTGAGAGATGAAAGTGATAGGTATTTTCAGGGTTAAACAGGACAAAATTCCCTTTAACGAGAGAAGAATTCAATTTTCTAACTCAAAATTAATATTTTTCTTTAAATATTTATAAATTGTATTTTTAAATAAATTTTAAATATCATGTCATCTTTGTGAAAATTATTAAATATAAATGTTTTAAAAAATAATTATAATTAATATTTTTAGGAGTGTCACGTATTAATTTCATGGATCCATCTAAGAAAGTTAGAAAAATAAGTTATACTGAAGAAAAAAATTATGTACTATAATTAAATCAAACTTATTTTATTAGGGTCATTTAAGTTAAAATCTATATAGTTCAAACCAGATTAGCACGTAGATTTATAAACTGATTCATTATATTTATTTTGTAAATAAAAATAAAATTATTTTATTAGCAAAATATATATGTACTATAAATTAATTTGATAAGTTATTTTATTTTAAGAATAAATTTGATAATAAGTTTCTAACAAATTAAGGGTGTCAACCTGAGCTTCAATCGAGAGGTTGAATTGAAAATAAGTGAGATAAACCCGACTCATTTTATGGTGAACCAAAACTTTTACAACTTGACTTAACCCATTATGGGTTAGTGGGTTGATTCATTGACTCATATTTATTTTTGTTGTTCTTACTTTTTTTAATAATCATAACTGAATCGTTGGACTGAAACGCAATGGCAAGACATGTCAAATGCTGTGATACGGTTGAAACGTGACAAACCTTACAATGCAACTAACAAACGTTAGTATAGTGACGTAACAAATGCAGTGATACGACGAATGCACTGATGGGGTAAACATTATGATGTGAATGAAACATGGGATTGAAACGCGGTAAATGTTGTGATTGAAACGTGATAACACAACAAACATAATGAACATGGTGGTGTAGTGGTGCAGTGGATGGATGACAAGCGACTCAGGTGTAGTGACGAACATAATAGTGCGACTATTTTGATATTTACTCTTAAAACAATTGAATCACTTGTCAACTTAATTTATAATACATATATTTGTTAATAAAATAGTATTACTTTTTTATTTAAAATAATAATAATTATTTTATAAACACGCATTGACCCACAAACTTACATGCTAGCCTGACTCAAGCCTATGTAGATCATGATCTAAATAGGCGGGATCAAAATATATTTGATATCATTTAGGCTACAATTTTTGTGGTTTGTATTTCTAAGTGTTTTGAGTCACTCATCAAACTAAACATATTTCGACATATCTAATAGTTAAAATTAATTATTATTTTAGATCAATTAATTACTAAAACAAAAATGATAATAATAAATAATAAGTTTTTAAATCTTATTATAAGATGGAATGAAATCATTATCTTATCACTTATATATTAAATAATTATATCTTCAATAAAAATTAATCTCATTAATATAATTTATTTTTTATAAAAATATATTTTTTATTTTATTTTTATTTAGATATTTTTAATTAATTATTTTGATATAAACATGCTTATATATATATTTTTTATTTTCAATCATACAAATTTTGGTTCATTAGTCTATTAAATTAAACTAAAAATTACAACTCAATTTAAAATATAGATCAAATTAAATTATAAATGTTGTTACTTTGTAACTCTAAATATTCTAAAACTTAATATAGAATTTAAGATAATAAAAAAATAATTGAAAGTGGGGTGGTGGGCATGTTCACATGTTACATTAAATACCATGTTATCTTGTGATAATTATTAAATATAAATGTTTTTAAAAATGATTATAATATTTGTAAAAGTGTCAAAATAGGCTTAATTGATTAGTATGAAAAAATTCAAAAAATAATTTAGATTTAGTAAAAATTATTATGACGTAAATTGAATCAAATTTATTTTGCTTAGAGTCTTTTAAGTCATAACTTACATGGGTTTAGCGTAAACTAGCTCGTAGGTTTATGAATCCATTTTATTTATTTTTTGAGTAAAAATTAAAATTATTTTATTTTATCAAAAAATATATATGTATGATAAATTAATTTAATAAAAAAATTACGTATATTTAAGAATAAATATGAAAATAAGTTTTTAACAACTACTTGTTTTAAGTAGGATTATCAAAATGGGCGTTGTAATCCAATCTCGTCTCGGTCTTATGGGTCAAGTAAATTAATTTGGTGATCTAACCTCGATTTATATTTTAAAATGGGTCAAATTATGTTAGGTCAACAGGGATAATAGACCAATTTTAACTTGATTGAATTTAAAAAAATATTAATATATCTATATCAAAATAATTAATAATAAATAAATAAATAAAAATAAAAAATTATAAATTATATTAGTAAAATTAATTTCTTTTAAGATATAATAATTTAATATATAAATTATAGAAAAATACATCCATATATCAAAATAAGAGTTAAAAACTTACTCTTGATTATCATAATATAATATTTTAGTAATTTATTAATATAAAATAGTAATTAATCTTAATAATTAAACATTGAAATAAGAAATAGTTAAAAACTTATTTTGATATTTACTCTTAGAACAATGAAACCCTTTATCAAATTAATTTATAATAATATATATTAATAAAATAATATTATTTTTATTTAAAAAATTATTATTATTTTATAAAATGGACAAACCTATAAGACTATGAACTAGTATGACCTAAGTCATATAAGTATAAGTCATGACTTAAATGAGTTGAATTAAAATAAGTTTGATTCAATTTAGATCACAAATTTATTTATCTATATTTTTCATGTCTTTCAATCTAATTATCGAACTAATCTTATGTTGACACCCTAATTTCAATATCTAACAATTAAAATTAATTATTTCATTTAGATTAATAAATTATAAATGAAATGTTTTTAACTCTCATAATTAAATGAAATCATTATCTTATAATTTTTGTAATAAATCATTATATCTTTAATAAAAACTAATCTCATTAATATAATTTAAATTTTAAATATATATATATATTTAAATATTTTTTAATTAATTATTTTATATAAATACGTTAATATTTCTTTTGTTAATTTTTAATCAAACTAAATTTTATCCGATAGTCTATTGACCTAATATAAAATCGTGTTAAATTAAACATTTTGATTAATATTAAAATATAAGTTAGATTAAATCATATTATTTTAATTATTGATTCATAAAATTAGGTCGGGTCGACATTCGTTTTATAGCTTTAAATATTCTAAAACTTTAAATATAGTTTAAGATAATAAAAAAATAATTGAAAGTGGAGTGGTGGGCATGTTCACATGTTGCATTATGATAAATAAAGAGGTAACATAAAGAGTGGCTTTATTATGATTTGGTTAAGTTGGTGAGTGGTCCCAAATCCTCCATCGGTTAACATCTTTTGCCCCTTTTCTTCAACTTGATGCTGCCAAAATCCACACTGGGACCATCTTTTCAAGTTAATTTTTTTTTACTTTGTGCATTCAATTCCCCTGACAAAAATATCTTGTTTGATGATAGATACCGAATATTCTTCTTTAAATGTTGGTTTCTTCCATAAAATCAAACTCAATTAACTAAGTTTTAACAAAATTACCTTATTTAAACGAGATTGCCTAATTCAAATGCTCATACTTTTGTTAATTTTGATTTTTTAATGTAAGTGTATTTTTTTATTTTAATTTTTTTGAATTATAAAAATCACTAGAGATTAAAAGTCACGGAAAATAATTATTCTACGAAATGTGTGTGTGTGTGTTTTTTTTTTAATATATACGAAATATGGGTTTAAGCTATCACTTCCAATATTATTTTATTTTATTTTAACATCGTAGTTCCATATTATTTTATTGTCAAGTTACAAGTTATATTTTTTATGGGATAAATGAGTCTTTGATGTTGTTATAAGATATATATTAAAATTGATTAGAAATTTTCAAATAAAAAAAACTATTGATTAGAAATTGAAACAAATATTATTATTAGAACAATATGGGATCAGATTTTTTTTTTGAAAAGAAAACATAAATATATAATAGTTTGCCCTGTAGAGAAAAAAAAAAGAAGGTAATCTAACTGACAAAAGGTGAGGAATTAATCTCCATCACATTTTTATTTTACTATTTCTGTGAATTGGTGAGGATGGTACCATATATCAGTGTTTTGGTACATTCTTGAGAATATACCAAATTCTACAAATTTTCTCACAGATTTCTTCTCAATCTCTTTCTCCAACTAAAAAATAGGTCTATCTCTTAAAACCTAAACCCTAATTCTGGAAAAAAAAAATAACCAAATGGACATTGTCATTATTTAGTGTCGGATTCATGATGGACTAATATAAAAATCAAATTAAACATTTATGGGCTAATAGAAGAGTTTTGTGTAATATTCCTTTGATTTTCATGGAACACTTTCCATCTTTTATTTGTATGCTTCTTATCCACCTTTTATTTGTATACTTCTTATAACTAGAGCATTAATCATAAAAGAATATAGGTTGTCTATTTATTTTCGTCCTTTATTTTATTTTCTTTTTAAAAATGTTATTATATATTCTGTTTTGAAAAGGCAAAATTTTGGATTAAAGATAAAATCATATTCCAGTTGTGTCTTATTATTAAGAATTTTTTTAGTATCGTCAAAAAATATCCAATATTTACCGACACTTGCAATTCAGAAAAACATTTCACCTAATCTGCAGAAAGCCACATGGATCTTATTCATTCTATTTCACGTGTCTTTTACTTCTACCAACGGCATAGAAAGGATTAACTTACGATAAATTATGTTACCAGAAGATAATTCCTGTTTGTCTGTTCTTCAACATCGTTCATAGACCCAGCCATATGATGCCATAGTTACAAATAATTCGTTGTTATAATCAACATCTAACAAATGAGGGGTTTTGTCACATACACGAGTAGATTTTAAAAAATTAAAACATATGGCACATATGCAGCACAATTTCTTAAATATGATAACCAAAATATTGAAAGCTGTACCCTTTCGTACCAGCACATGGGATGTGTGATTCAACATTATGGAAAGAAAGTTTAATAGTTATGGCATTAGATCTTCTTGATTTAATCCACAACTTTCAAACAGATAAGTTCAGCAGTATATGTCTGTTTTGTGAAATTGCTAGTAATTCATTATATGCAAAATTTCTATTTAATGCAGATAGAAACTGATGTAACAATTTTGGTATAGTTAACAAGCTATATTCAAATAATGGTTACTGGCTTTTGAAAATGAAAAAGGTAAGCAGAAAAGCAATGGGAGGGGATGCAGATATAGAAAAGAATAGTGTGTACCCCAAACTACCAATAGTCTCTACAGGAGCAAAATCCATCCTTGAAATGATGAAATCGATATCCATCTCTCATTATAAGTTTCCTTGAGGTGATCAAAGACAACAACTTTATTACCAAGTGACAATCGTTGCACACACGAAGATTCTTCATTACATGTATAGGCATCCAAGATGGCAAACTCAGCAATCCAAAAGCAAAAGCTAGCTTTTCACTATGGTATTTTTTACTCCTATGAGCAGAAGAGACCACACTAACATACCTTCCAGTATCTTCTATCTTCTTCATCATCTCCTCCAGTTTTACATAAATCTCCTTCATTTGTGGATGACTGGTGTCATCTACAGTGAACACATGTACCCTGTTATCAACCTCTATCCAGCTACAACCTGGACTCTTTCGAATTCCTTTCACTTTCATCAATTTTCTCATATCAGCAACATTTTCTAACTCCCCAGACTCGGCGTATATATTAGCTAGAAGGACATAACCTCCAGAATCTTCAACATTTAATTCCATCAACTTCTTCGCGGCAGTTTCAGCTAGTCTTGAATTATAATGAATTCGGCATGCTCCTAGTAGAGCACTCCAAACAGTGGCATTTGGCTTTAAAGGAATTCCATCTATTAAATTCTTGGCCTCGTCTAGTAACCCTGCTCGACCAAGCAGATCTACCATACAAGCAAAGTGTTCATTTGTTGGAGAAATGCCAAACATTTGAGTCATGGAATCAAAATAATGTTTCCCTTCAACTACAAGCCCCATGTGGCTGCACCCAGATAAAACAGCAACAAAGCTTATATGGTCAGGTTTGCACCCTGTCCTCAACATATCCTCAAATGTTTCAATTACTTTCTTGCCTATACCATTTTGTGCAAATGCTGCCATCATGGCATTCCAGGAAATCAAGCTTTTCACATGTATTGAATAAAAAACTTTCTGTGCTTCTTTGATGTGCCCACATCTTGAATACATAGTGACAATACTATTTGCAACTGAAACATCAGAACTGAGCCCAAACTTTATGGCATGAGATATGACTTGTGTCCCAAGTTTTAGAATAGCCAACTCAGCACAGGCTCGGATAGAAGTTGCAAAAGTGATCCAATCCGGTTTGACTGCTTGACTTCTCATCAAAACATACAACTTCATTCCTTCTTCTGTGAAGCCATGCTGAATATATGTGCTTAACATGGAATTCCAAGTTATGACATTACGCTCAGGCATCGTATCAAAACATTGGCGTGCCCTGTCAATGTCTCCTTTCTGAGAGAATGCACCGATCATGGCTGTCCATGATATGGTATCTCTAAGTGGCATCAATCTAAATGCAAGGCTGGCTTTCTCAGTATCACCACACTTTGCATACATTGTAATGATTGCATTCGCTACAGGAACGGAGGATTCCATTCCACTTTTGATTGCATATCCATGAATTAGTTCTCCAGGGGCAGCATAATTCGGACTTGAACAAACCCCAAGTACAGTGGCAAGAGTGAAATCATCCAACACCACGGAATCTAATCTCATTTGGTTAAATAGTGCCAAAGCATCTTCGCCAAGTCCAAACTGTGCGATCCCAGCAATCAAACAAGTCCAAGAAACTTGATTACGTTGCCCTAAACTGTCAAACACACGCCTCGCCAGTCCTAAGCATCCACATTTGGCATACATGTCTATGAGACCACTTCCCAAAAATGAATCCAAGCTATGTTCCATTCGAAGAATTCGAGCATGCAAATGGGAACCCCATTCCAGATCAGAAACGCTTGCACATGCACTGAGTACACTACCATAAGTCATGAAATTGGGCCTAAAACCCAGATTGCACATCTCCACAAACATACTAAGACAGCGGACCCCAATGCCATGTTGAGAGAACACTGATATCAACGTGTTCCATGAAACATTGTCACGTTGAGGCATTCGGGTGAACACTCGGAGAGCTTCATAGGGCCCATATAATTGAGAATATCCATAAATCATACTGTTCCTGCAAAACAAACTCGGGCTTTTAATGTTAAGGAAAACAGTCTCAGCCAATCGAATTGCACCGCACTTAATATACATATCAACAAGGGAGTTCTGAATGCAAGTTTGGGTTCCCAAATGTAACTTGATGGCATGGGCATGCAACTGAAGAGCCAACTGAGGGGAGGAAAGACAAGCACAAGCCTTCATTGTACAAGTATAAGAAAAGGGGTCACAATTTTGAATTTCATGATTAGAGTCTCGAAGCATTGACATAAACGTTTTGATGCTATAAGCAGGGAGGCCGTTTTGACAATAACCAGATATCATCGTGGTCCAAGAAATAGAGTCTCTCATTCTTGTGGGCATTTCATCAAACAAGTTCTCTGCTTCTTGCATCTGGCCAGAATGTACGAATGCATGGAGCATGGTGTTCCAGGTAAAGGTATTGGCATGACTAGTCTCGCGAAATACGCGAAAAGCATCATCTAGCATGGCACAGTTGGAGTACATGTGCATTAGATTGTTGAGTAAGAAAAGTGAAGCGTCCAATCCGGAGAGTATGAGTTGGGCATGAAGTTTCCGAGCAATAGGTGGGGATTTGAGGGAGGTTCCACACAGGTTGAAAGCATCGAAAAACTTCTGAGATAGTTGCATGTAAGACATTTGCTTTTCTAGCATAATAATAATAGCCCCAATTCTTTTAACTCATTGTCTATATTCTACAACTCTACACATTTAATCTACATTGTCGCCGGAGATGGAGGCCGCGTCGTCGCTGGCGAGAATTTTGTCACCGGTGTAGCGGGGCGAAGGTGTAGGAAATATTATAAAGGATAATTATTATATCTTATTAATATTAGAAATCAATAATACTATTAATTAATTAAGTATTTATTAATCATTATAAATTAGTTCATTGGTTCTTATAAAAAAATTATAAAAGTAATATTTAATGTTAGATAAAACTTACCTATAATACTATCTCTTCAATAACGTGAATATTATTAGTGTTTTTTTTTCAATTACTTTAATAAGCCTCTTATTTATTACGTTGCATATTTAAAATTGTTAATTAATACGACTATTACAAAAAAATCATATAATTATAAATACTTCATACATTATTAAACTTAAGTACTTTAAATGATTTATAGATTAAATCTTTTATGTACTTTTGGATTAATATAATTTTAATCATTAACATATGGACGAATGATTGAAAAAATCTACCGCAGCAAATTCCTACTCTGTTCTTCTTCAGCATCGTACATACACACAGCCATATGATATTTATTAGTTACAAATAATTCTATGCTACAATCAACAACGTCCAGTAAATTCAGAAAACTGAATGACTCCAATTCATACCTCGCAATTAATTTAAATTTTTTACAATTTTTTAGAAAATTATTGCAAAACGTAAATAAATCAATAAGATGTAGTTTAAACTAATTCTGATGGATAATTCATCAATGAAAATTTCTAAAATATATGAATTTTATTTTTATGTAATAGTCATTCTCCCATTCTGTGAAAATACAAATGTTACGTACGAAAATAAAGGCACATTAATCAATGTAATTTTTTAAAGAAATATAAATTAAAAATTAAAAATAATTATCCACTACTTAAAATATAGTGAATACATATTTGGTTTGACGTTGGTTCAAGTCAAACATTTCCAAGCTAAAACTACCCACTGGAACTTCTATTTTTCAGATTCACATTCAATATACCAAACACACTGAGTTTATCTATTTTGAGCACCATACTTTTTCCTTCAATAATTAAAACTTTTTCTTTAGTAGTGACTGTACAGTCGCAGACAAAAGAACACATGTTTGTAAAATATATTCACATTTCAAAGTTTTTTATCCTTGTTTAAACTTCATCCAAATGCAAACTGTAGAATAACTCATTCATCACTGTATGAGAAGTAGTTCTTCAAATATCACAACACAAGTAAAACACATGGCACATATGCAGCACAATTTCTCCATCAAAATCCCTTAAGAATATCACAGCAGTTTTCTTCAGCGGGCCTCGTATTGGACAACTGCATAAAAACACTATATTGTAAGTACAGTATGTAAAAATCATGTATGTAGAATGTGCAAAATCTTATAATCGTTATGTTATCTATACAATTGACACGTAGTTCTTATAATTTAGACTTGCCAAGCACTCAGTCTAACGATTAACAAATCACTCTCATAATGTGCTTCAAACTTATCATCACTAGAAGGGGCAAAGAAATAGACAAATGTTCTCTTTGAACTTTCACCACCTTCCAACAAAATCACAATTCTTTTAGTGAGACATTGAGGATAATGTGTCCATGTCCCAAAACTTTTGATTGAACTACTTATGTTACCTACTTTTTTTGTGATTTATATATTTTTATAACGATATGGTATATGCCATGTAGTTCATCCGATTCTTTTAGCGTAAATATTTCCAAGATAACAAACATCTCTATATAACAATTGCGAATAGGACCATAGGTACATGGTCTATACACGGCCCCTCTAATCAAAGGTTAAGGGACTTCTACAAAGTAATTGTTGTAGCAAAGATTGTTTGTGCAATGTAGATATCCCAAAAATCATGAGACTACAATTCCCGCCAATATATTTTGCGACCTTTGAGATACCCACTATACACAAACCATCCTCATTACGACAACTACTTTATAAAAAGCCCCTTGACCTTCGGCAAAAGATTGAGGGGCCATGTATAGACCATGTTACCATGGCCCTATTCGCCAAGTCCCTTCACCTTCGGTCAGGGATTGAGGGGCTGTGTACATACAATGTTACCCATGGTCTTATTTGCCAAGTCCCTTGACCTTTGGTAAGGGACTAAGGGGCCGTGTCCATACCATGTTACCCATGGTCTAGTCAAGTCACTTTGGTCAAATAGCCGAATGTTCGGTCAAATGATCCATGATAAACAGATGTATATAGGGACAGTTAAACCACGTATCTCGGGCCAATGACTCTAATATCTTGGGGTCCATAAGTCAAGGTTGCAGGGGAATCCCATGACTCTAATATATTGGAGTTCATAAGTCCACGTATTAGGGGAGTCTCGTTATGAGATATTAATAACCTCTAGTAATAGGTATAGACGTATAATCTAATAGACTATTCTGGTATACAGGTTCTCTCTAATTACTGGAACAGTATTAAATAAATATTTCTACAAATTTTATTCAAATACGATAAATCTGAAGGGCAATAATTTACTACTATATAAACCTTGTCATTTATGATATGATTCCATTTCACCAAATTCAAGGCTTTAAGAGAACATTCTCACACACTTTATATATTAAGATGCTAGACAGAAATAATAAGAACTTTGGTGGTAGATATTGCATTACTTAAATATTATATTTATATTCCTAAGTAATATGTAAAATTGTATTTAAATCCTATTAGTATATTATTTAAAATCATATTTAAACACAGAAATGTATAATTGAATAATAAATGAATTGTCTGTCTAGGTCTTTTACAAGCAATACCAAAAAAAATGAGAAAAATCTTAGGGTCTGTGGAATACCCTTCTATCTTTCTTGTTTGAAAATGAGCTTTATAAAATACACCACAAAAGACAACAATCAATTTCTCATCCAAAAACAAATTACATGTGTTTACAAATCAGTTTTGAAAATTGTTTACAGAACATGTTTAAAAAACCAACAATACATGATCTGTTAATAGATGTTTTCTCATCGAATTTTTCCCTTCAAATGCTCTGTTCAAGTACTCAAGGAGCAGAACCTATAAAATCACCAGAGTGATTTGTTGTAAACTAACACATCTCTAACAACATCACTATAAACAATACACAACAAAGGAGAGAGAATTTCCAACAGCAACGATAGTTACTGATTACTTGTATTATTTTAATTAAAAATAAATATGTGAAGAAAACAAGGAGATAACTCAGCAACAAGGCGTAAATGAAATAGAAGCTTACTGCGACGGGTGCGCTTCTTGTAAAGGATTCGGTAACCGCACTCACGGCACTGTATAACGTCCCCAGGCTTCAGCGTATTCTCCATGCCACAATCTGAAGCAAATACACAAGTCAAATGACACTTGACTCTGAAAACCCTAAACACACATTCAAATTTGCAGAAAAGATAAAAGGAAAAACGCGAAAAGGTGAAAGTGAGATGAGAAAAGGGAAGGAACCTCCGCAGATATAGCTGACTGGTTCAGGCTGAGGATCCATCGCTGATCCCGGCAAACTGTGATCGATAAATGTTCTTGGCTTCAGGTTACGCTTGGGAGCCCATGCACACTGAAGAATTTGAAACACGGCGCTGAATCAGAGCTTTAAAGAACGTTTGGGTTTCGTGATTCGTTTTTTTGGGCCCAAATTTTAGGGTTACTTGCCCAAAAGTTCAACCATATTAAATATATTTTTTATTTATCTTAAAATTATTTTATATATTAAATTTTAAAATTTCAAAAGTATAAAAATATTTTTTTAATATGGTGATTTTATACTAGTTTGACTGATTCTTTAAATGTCCAACGTTTTACATAATCGATTTGGTAATAGATTGATTCTTGGTTAAATTAATTTATTGTTTAGTTCAATTTTCAAAATCATAATAAATTAGGAAAAATATTTTATATACTATCAAGACTTATATTGTTGACCTGTCGGTCAAAGTTGGAATTGGTTTGTTTATACTTCTTATATATATATATATATATATATATATATATATATATATATAATTAAACAACAGGATTGAATGACAATTTGACAAATAAAGAGTTTTCTAAAATTGAAGACAAACTCACTAAAAGCGACATTTTTTTCAGATCATTAACATGTTGTTGGTAAAAAAATTGAATATAATCTCATGTCACTACTTGATTAATTTGCAATATAGAAAATTTAGTTTTTTTTTTCTTCTGGGTTTGCAAGTTAAAGCATGGAATAATCGTTCGTTCTAGAATAGTCAATGATGGCCACGCTTAGGTCAACAAGCCATTAAATAGATAATCAAATTCAAAACTAAAGTGTTTACCAACTTTCTTTGACTTGAGAAAATATTGGAATCCACTTCCTCATTCGGCTTAAATTTCAACCTAGTAATTAGCGAGAAACAATGCATATTCTTGGAAAATTAAGATAAGATTTTGTCTTACGTAGCAAATTGTATTTTGATTATAATAATTACTACAGAACTTATAATACAAAGCTTCCTTGAACACCTGGTTACAAGAATTGTAGCACATACAATGTTTGTCAGAATATCTTGAAAAAATTCCATTTTGCATATCAAATTTCTGCAACCACACGCAATTATGAAGTCTTTTGGTACCTCTCCAGGGAGATCCAGTTCTTTTCCACATACTGACGATAATTTACCAAAAAATGGCTATTCTTTCATCAACACAGGTAAGAATCAACATTTTCTTCCTTTGGTTTTGCACTTTTGCCCATCACACCAATACAACACAATACTAAACCAGTAACAAAGGGGTTCTCTTGTACCTTCTGCAGGTAAACAAAATGACACGAAGGACAGACGAAAAAACAGCAGTTTTCCATATAGGATTCATGACCATGGTAATTCAAAGTTGAGAGAATTATAAAAATGTGATCAATTCTATTGAACATTAGATTAACTCACCATATGTTGTATGCATGTATATGACTGCAGTGAAAATGGGCCCAAATCTGTCTAAGATTCTGAAAGGAAAGTTGAGTTTGGGGGCAAGGATTATACAGGAAGGAGGAAGAGAGAACATCTTCAAGAATGTTTTTGGGATGCAAGAAAAAGAGCAATTTTTGAAGGCTTCTCAGTGTTATCTATATTCCACAGCTGGTCCTATTGCTGGAGTTATATTTATCTCAACCGAAAAGGTTGCATTTTACAGTGAAAGGCCCATAACCTTCAGTTCTGTGACAGGAGAGTTAGCCAGGGCACCTTACAAGGTAGTCTTTCATATGATAGAACCTAACTTTAAACTCAAATTAATTAGTTTATATGCAAGGTTAAAAATGGCCAGTGACGCAATTTCTGTCACAACATCAAGGGTTTTTGAGGATGGCTATGGTTGCAATTGTGTCTGCATGACTTTATTTGTCCACAGTTTTATATAATATCAAGGACAGACGAAATTGTAACTGCCACTGCAATTTAAAATCTTGTGTATATATGTTTTTTTATCTAGTGCATGTTTTTGAATTCTGATGTCAATGTGCTTCTATTATATATGCAGGTTTTGATTCCAATAGGTAGAATAAAAGAGGTCAATGAAAGCCATAATGTGAATAATGTAGAACAGAAGTACATAGAGATAGTGACTAAGGATGATTCTGAGTTTTGGTTTGTGGGGTTTTTACGGTACGAGAAAGCTCTCAAGAATCTCAATAAAGCCATTTCCATGGCCAATCAATTCTGAAAGTAGTAAATGTTAACTTTCTATATTTATGTGATGTACTTTTTTTTTTCTGTAGGATAGTTAAGTTGGGAAGTCAAGTTTTATAATGTGAATGAGATTTTTTGCAATGTAATGTTCAAGTTATGTGTGTTGCATGTCCTGCATTAGTTTCACCTCTTATCTTTTGGGATGATGAAGAGCTGCTGGTGACTATTTGTATGCCACAGAAAAAGACATCAGTGTTCTCCACTGTGAGAGGTGGTGAATGTAACATGGCTTAGAAGACCCTGTCAAATAGGGACCAAATGAAGAAAAACACAATAGGAAAACAATATGTAGACAAAGATAGTGGAAAAGAGATGGAACGCAGTGCGATCAAACTCTCACATTCACAATATATGTCCCACAACTTAATCAATTTAGCTGACTAGAAGGGACTATTTGGACCTTTTCTGATTAATGTTTGTTATTTTATTTCTTAAAAGCTGTTTTTCCAAGTTAATATAAGCTTGCTTACAGCTTGAAAATTGAGCACAAAAGTAAATAAGATGATAAAGGGGTTATTCATTATTGATCACTGACCAATTAACTCTTTCCTTCACAAAATGTCAATCAAAGGAGTGTTTACACGTCAACAATTGCATATGCAATATATATTATATTAATGTAATCATGTCCTTCCCAAAAGAACCATCTAGTCTTATATCTGACTAGTTTTATTCATTCTCACATTAGTTTGGTGCCCTCTTGAACATAACCCTGAAGGATGGAACCTTATCACTCAGAGACAAATGCTTGTTTCCATCATCACCAACATATAACCCAAGTTCCCTGCACAAAGTCTGGCAATTGCACACTGAGGGACAGAAAGAAATTACATAGTCTTTCTCAGCCTTCTCAATCTTGAACCAATTGACAATGGTGTCAATCCCTGGATTGCCTTCAACACCACCAGTGCCCAAAAACCACACCCCAGTTAACACCTTGAGGAGCTTCCACACTGGCGGTTTGTCACAGGTGATGTTTGTCCCATAGGACTTGATGTTGAGATCAGTTGAGGTTAGGATGACACCACTTTTGGCATTGTAGGGTGTGAAAGTAACTGGGGTGCCCTTCAAGACTTCAAGCTTCTCTTGCACCACAAAAAGGGGGCATGTGTTGTTGCCACTACTTGAAACTGTTAGGCCACCACCTTTGCCTCTCAAGACTGGCAGAATGTAGTACTTGACATCTGTTCTCAGTTTCTGGCCTGAGGTGTCAAGTACTGGTTCAGGAGCTGCTACAGCAATACCAATGAAGAGTTCTATGGTGAAGGAAAAATAGAGAATTAAAAATTTCAAGAGTGAGATCTTCATGTTTCTGAATGGATCTAAGAATAGAGATTGCTGTTTCTGTACATAGAATAGGAAAGAGTGGTCTCAATTTATAGGGCTTATAAAAGGGGACATGAGTTTTGTGTGTCTTGGATCAATTATTCAATTTGCATATGGATACTATTTTTTGAGAGAATGATTGCTTAGGGGTGTGGTTTGTAGGTCATACTTAGAAATATTATATTAAAAAAGTTCCCTCTATGATTTTAGTGAGGACACGGTTCAAGGAAGGTCTGAGTGTGCAATTGTATGTCTTTTCCCACAACCTTATCTTCTAGTAATGTGCTAACTTATTTACACATGTTTATCGTGAAAGAACTATAACCAGTGTCCAAAACCAAACGTCTTTCAAATCATGGCAGATGGAAATAATGGTTGTCAAAATTCTTTTTGTCATGGAAGATTTTAATTCTACAGGGTTCATTGTTTGATTATAGTCTACATACTTTAAAATTGACAACTTCAATTTTCTTATATATTTCTAGCCACAGTTAAAACTATAAAGATTAAAATTACAATTAACCAATTCTTTTGAATTATTCATATACTGATATGTAGAGTGGTCCATTAGAATTGAGCAAATCCTTTACGTGTAAGACATTAATTATTGCACCGACTGGTTGACAAAAACAAAACAAATGGGTCAGATATTAGGTTTGTATGCTCTGGTTTTGGTTTCTTATTTTCTGATGTAAAAGCACACAAATACACACATGGGAAAAGGTTTTGCAGCTATTGAATGGGTTTTGGAAAGAAGCCAACTTTGGCTGAGTTGCACGCGTTGACATTTAATGGCTGACAGAACAACATCACTTTCGTTGACTTCTTCGTTTCATATCTGATGAGTGGTAAAAATATCATTTTGATCATTTAAATCTTTATAACTTTATTATACACATATTTCTTTTGATAATCTCGTTTTGTTTTATTAAATTCTAGCTTATTTTCAACTTTATTTATTTGTAATGTCCTTCAAAAATGACATCAGAAAAGAGGTATTGAACACTGTAAGTCAAATCAAGTCCACAATCTAACATTTACCAAGTTTAAAATACCATTGAATTAAAAGAAACGTTTTTTGGGTCTTAAATAGTCATGCCCTTGTTGTGTTGGTCCTCAAGCTAGTGAATAAAATAAAAAAAATAAAAGCATGAAAACAAAAGAAAAAAACCTATGAAAAGTTTGCAACTGCACAAACCTATGCTTTTTAACAAGGAGTAGTTTTGTGATTCAGAACTGTTGAGATCTTTGACTACTTCTTTGTTGCTATAAGGATTATCAAACCTAATGTCCTCCATGTTGCTGCTTTCCTCTTTGAATACATGGATTCCAGTTGCTTTAACAATTGAGGTCTCTATCACACCTTCATATGTGATCTCCACATGCTTCCACTCCTTCTCTAATGGTAGTTTAAACAAATTACTATAGACATGTACTTCTAGATCAAAGAGGTATGTTTGATCCAATTCAAACATCCTCACTATTTTCCTGTAACGAAAAAATGGTGATTCTTGAGCTTTACCATCAATGAACACCATAGGTCTAATCAAATCAAAGCCATGTTTATCTCCCACAGGTGCAATTAGAAGAGAAAGAACCTTAGCAGAAAACTTATTACGAAACCAGAAACGACAAGAAGGTCCACTACTTCGGTGATCAAACCACTCCGGAATACTTGTTCCTGGAAACCAAAACTCAGTTTCTCGAGCCTCGTGCAATTGCTGTTAGTCATACATTATTCATACAGAACTCGTTAGCTTACCAAGAAAATTAATCAAGAGCACTAGATATTATCAATAAAAAAGTTAAAACAGGACAGAAACCTTATTTAGCAGCATGCTTGAACTCGAGGAAGTCAAGGATATACAGTTTATTGCCTTGAAACGTCTTAATTTTGGTGGAAACCCTCTAATTTCTTGAAGATGCTTGCAATGACTCACATCAAGAGTGTAGAGGTTGTGAAATTCTTTGATGCATTCAGGAAGGAATGTGAAGTTATTTTCCCGTAGAAATAAACTACGCACTTGTGCCAACTGCATGAACCCTGCTGAAAAAAAGTTATCATCCAGGTTGCAAGACAAGGCCGAAAACCAATCTACATTTGAAGAAACCATTGAACCTACTTTATCTTCACCCTCTTCTGATTTTACCCATTGCCACCCTTTGCAATTAGTAACACTAAAATCACACAATTCAGGCATCGAGGCAATGCTACTTGGTAAGTGAATAATTTCACATGACAGATGTAAATCTTCGAGTCCGATAAGATTTTGAAATGAAACTGGCAATTCTTTTATGGGAAGCTCCTCCAATTCAAGTACTCTTATGTTTCCCATCTTTCCTAATATTTCTGGAAAATTCTCAAGACTGGAACAATATGAAAGTTCTAGTCTTTCAAGAGAGGTCAAGTTGAGAGGTGGAAAACTCATAAGCTTGGTGCAACCTTCCGCACTCAATGTTTTAAGTTTAGTCATAAAACCAATTGAGTCATGTACTTCAATTAAACTCTCACAATTTTTAAATGAAACTTCCTCCAAATTTGGGAGATCAGACATATCAGGTATTTGTGTTAAAAAATTGCACTGGTCGAAATTCATAACAGTTAGATTCTCGAATTTCTGCAAAGAAACAAAGAAAAAAAAAAGAATCAAATGAGTTAATTTAAATCGTATTCATTAATTTACAAGATGAGGAAAACACTCTTTATACTTGCCTTCGATGAGCCATGGAACCCAAATGACCTAAAGCTACTGTCAGTTAACTTGCAGATGACGAGTTTGTTTGGATGGAAATTTGATGGTAAACAATTTGAAGGGTATCCATGCCATTCCAGTACTCTCAAACTTTCTGGAAAATAATTGGGAGCTTTGGAAAATTTACCATTTCTTATAATAAGTATTTTAAGGTTTTTCATCTTTTTGAAGGCGTTTCCATTCCATTCTAGTGTTTCTTCTTTCTCGCATATAGACAAATCCAGACATATGATTTCAATTTTGCTAGTTCCCTGTCAATGCAAAAGTCACAGACGAATCAACCAAAATACAAGTGTATGCAACACCTCAACCTCAACTCACATGTTGAGAGAGAATTTTAAAAATTTAATCAAATAAGAGAAGTTTAAAAATTTAATCAAATAAGAGAAATTTACAAATTATGAAGAAAAAAACTGATGTGAACAAATGGTAGACGAAAATACTGAATCAAAAGATACAAGAAAGCAAATCAATGATTGATGAATCTCAATTACCGTGTTGTCTTTCAAAACTTGAATTATATCTTTCGATAACCATAACCTCATGCGCTTCCCTAGTTCTTTGGGTGATTCTTGCTGGTCAATTTGTCTACCCATATCTTGTATCAAGTCATGCATTTCAACTACACTACGCATACCAGGCCAAATCTTTATGAGAGATTTTTCGACCAACACCCCAATATGATGTTTCATGTTGTTATCATAAAGAGCACGAAGTATAAGTTCAACTTCTGTCAAATCACATCCTTTCAAGCAACAAGCGATGTCAAGAAAAACATTTTTTTCTTCTTCGCCCAGAGCATCAAAGCTTACTTTAAGTATATCTAGGACTTCGTCATTAGGAATTCTTTTGTAATGTTCAATAGCAGATTCCCATTCTTCTAAACTTTTTCCAACCAAGTTGGAACCTATTACTTCTAAAGCCAAGGGAAGGCCAGAAGCGTAAGTTACTACACGTTTCAAGACGTGTTGGTAACTTGGATCAACTTTTTCCCCTTTGAAAGCATTCCATATAAGCAATTGAAGAGCATCATTCTTGTTCATTTCCTCCACCTCATAGGTTCTTTTAACCTCATGAGATTTTAGCAGTTGCCAGTCCCGAGTGGTAATGATAACTCTGCTTCCGGAACCAAACCAATCAGATCTTCCAACAAGTGCTTGTAATTGTTTGCGCTTGTCAACATCATCTAGAATCAAGAGAACTTTTTTCCGCTGGAGCCTCTGTTGTATCACTGAAATTCCTCGTTGCACACTTGCTAAGTTGATGTCCTTTTCTCCAAGTATTTCTGAAAGAAGGATGCTCTGGAGGTGTTTCATTCCATGTTTATTCGATTCTTCTCTTACATTTTGAAGAAAACATGAACCATCAAAATCATCAGCAATCAAATTATACACGGCTAGAGCAAGTGTTGTTTTTCCTATCCCACCCATTCCATGGATCCCTATCATGTGGACAACATCATCAGATCCAACATCCAAAAGTTTCTTGACTTCTAGCACTTGTGACACTAGGCCAACTGGGTAATCCGCAACATATAGAGGCGCACGATTAATCTCCCTGGAGACCCGCTCAACAATCCTCGCAATAAACTTGTATTCATATTCATCTCTGTTTAACACAAGTTTTATAAAGTTAAACTAAAAGCCTTGTATCCATGTACTGATACGGATGTTTATTGTGCAGAAGGTTAAGAAGTATATCTTTAGACAAGTAAAACATAATACAATAAAAAATATGAGTGGAAAGGATTGCTAAGGTGGGTGGGTACCCATCTATGAAATGATAGCCAGAGAAATCAGCTACTTGACGCAAAGCCATCTTCCATTTCTGCAACTTCTCCTTCTCAGCTTTGAACCTTTTCTGATGCTTAACCAAGGCTTCTCCATAACTACCTTTCTGGTGTCTCACATGAGAAGGATCCACCTTATAAAAGACCGGTATAACCAACAGCCCTTTACTCTTGCAGTCAAGGATGACTGCAAGTTCATCTAAGCAAAATGAGGATGAAGCATAGTTGTTAGAGAGCACAACGATTGCAATTCTAGACTCTTCAATTGCCTTCACAAGTGCTGCTGTTATTTCCTCTCCGCTTTGAAGCTTCTCATCATCAATAAAAGTGTGAATTCCCTTGTTACTAAGAGCTTTGTAGAGATTGCCAGTGAAACCATAGCGGGTGTCTTCCCCTCTAAAGCTGAGGAAGACATCGTAGGTGAAAGCATGGGAAGAGGGTGTTGGCATGAGAAGAAAGATGAGAGAGGTAATGAGAGTATATGGAATGAAACTTTGAATGAATATGAAATTTAGAGACTTAAACGTAATGACATGTTGCATAATGAATTGACCTTTTGAATGTATTGGTTTGAATAATAATGACAATAATGGCGGTAGATACGCGGTTTCATCTTTTACTTTTCCAAATTATACAAAGTGGGGTTTGTTGTATTCAGCTTTTAGATCATATGCAAATCTCGGTATAATATAACAAATAGTAATATAATATATCTATCTCTAAATTTAAAACAATAATGAGATTAAATTGAAAGAAGTAAAACAATTGTAAGAAAAAATATTTAGTCTTTAATTATCTTTGTTTTGCTGCTTTTGTTATTAAAGTTTTTACTTGTTTTTAAAAATTTATCATTTCATTATTAAATTTCTAACACAGTTACTATTTGTCATGAAAAGATGTTCTTTAAGTCATGTGAATTGCTCACTTGAAATGAAAGA